CCTAATTTTGTTGTAAATTAAGCTATTAAAAACAAGGTCTTTGCCAGCCCTTTCATTTATAGGTGATGGGGTCTACTCAAGAGGATCTTACTCAACAATTCAGGATTATCATTTAAAAAAAGGTAAAATGCTTGTCATAGGCCAGTTCTTCTTTAACATTAGCTAGAAAATGAATTCTTTTGGAAGAATACCTTGGGAATGGAGTACATTAATGACCCAGTGGGATAAACACTTGACCACCAAAAAGCACTGCATTTGAAAAATTGCTTTTTCTCAACCTAACCGTGCTTTGTACAGCATAAACAGATTCATTACTGCTGAGATATGCTGCATCTCTAATTTCATTTTCACAAAACTTCAACACACCTCCATAGAATCCAGATTAGTTTTCTCAGTAAATAACTATGACATTACCATTATTAGTGTTCATAGGAAGTCCCTATTTAAAAGCACAACAGGGAAATTACTAGACAGTATCTTCACCCCCAGAAAACACATAAAAATACAAATACACGCCCATAGATAATAAAACACTGGAAAATGATAAGGATAATCAAGAAAATGCTATATCTTCACCTGTGGTTTAGCTATTCAGCCAACTTTAAACAATTTTATAATACCATTTATTATTTTTAAAATATAGGAAAATGTTAGCAATCAAATATTATGAGAAAAGTGTCAACCTAATTATGAAATGAAATTAAGCTGTCAAGCAATAAAATACTGTGAATCATTAATCTAAATTCTATATTATACACAAGGAGAAGAGATTCCAGATAAAAGGCTCAAACTGCATAGTGTGAAATATTTCACTTTAACCTGTTCCTAAAATCTTTTCTGGTTTTCTTTTCTGGGTTTTTCTCTTTTTTAATAGCTCAAATGTTTAATAATTAGAATTCCATTCCCATTCATTTGCTACTGACCTAGCGTTGCCTGTGGGATCTGAAAAATCGATTTCATGAAGTACAGCCAACCATTTTATAGAGAAGAGCCCTTTCTAAAATCCCCTAAATTCCCTTAAGCTTTGAAATTCTTGGTGTTCTGTTATGGAATCTGTTAATATCACAGAGAGAAAGTGCAGAAAGATACTAATGCAGGGCTATGGGTGCCTATGCTTCAAGCCATGATGCTGTCTGTGGTCAAATGGGTTGGTATTATAATTTGCTAGGCAATGGTAAATAACGAGTCTAGTCTCCTTTCAAAAATGACTCAGCTACTTAGTGAATGTGTCTTAGAAGCTATACAAATTTTCTAAAACAGATTACTGAACAAAATATTGGTATATAGAAATAAATACTTTTGGACTACTATGAGTCAGGCAATATATTAGGTGCAGGAGATAACAGTGAATATGGTAATTATTGCCCCTTCCTTTATGGATGTTAAATCTGTCTCAAAGAAATTTTGGACAAGTAATCAAATAAAATGAATGAGTGGCAGTACTACAAAAGTCAATATTCAGGTTCTTTAATAATTTTTATAGTTTTTCTATATGGATCCTGCATATTTTTATTAGGGTTTTTCCTAGAGATTTTATGGTACATATGTTAGTATTATTCAGAGAATTTTTTCTACTATCTCTACTGTTTCTTATTGGTATATTGATATTTTTTGATTTTTTTTTTGTATTTAACAGCCTTACAGATTTCTGTTTAAAAGGATTTTATGTGGCATTTTTGAACTTTCTAACAAATATTCTCTGCAGTTACTAATGACTTTTCCCTTTCCCCCTCCAGTAGTTATTCCATTAATTGATTTGTGTGTTGTTGCACCAGTCAGAAATTCTAGAATAATGTTGAATAACAACATTGGGAATTCCATCCCTCCTTGATTTTAATGAGCTCAGTTTATATAATTAGTATTACATGATGTGCTCTTTCTAGATACCCTTTTTTTTATGAGAAGAAAGTATACTTCATTGTTTCCCTTAAGATGTTGTTTATTAGGAATTTTTTTCCCCTAAGTTCTTAATTATGATCTCTCTCTCTCTCTCTCTCTCTCCCCCCCCCACCCCCCTTTCTCTCTGTATCACTTTAAGTATTTTTTTTCAAGAGGAACATTTAGGTGCTACAAATTTTAACTTCCTCAATAACTGAGAATTCTATTACCATCACATATAAACAATATCTAGGAGGGCATACAATTCTTAGGTTACAGGTTTCTGCCTTAAAATGCCACAGACCGTTGGGAATACAGAATTGTCCAGCCACTTTGGGAAGTGTTTTGGCAATTTAGGGGAAATTTACACTTACACAAAACCCTATAAACACGTTTATGGCAGCTTTATTCATAGTAGCCCAAACCTGTAAACTATACAGGTGTCCTTAAATCCTTCCATACAATGGACTATTACTCAGCCATAAGAAGGAAAAAACTGTTGGTTCATACAACAGGTTGGGTGAATTTTAAATGCATTTTCCTAAGTGAAAGAAGAAAGACTATATATGCTAAAGAAGACAGTGGCTATGGGTTGTGTTGATTTTTTTTTAATGTTTATTTATTTTTGAGAGCTAGAGACAGCATGAGTTGGGGAGGAGCAAAGAGAGAGGGAGACAGAGAATCCCAAGCAGGCTGTAGCTATCAGCACAGAGCCTGATGTGGGGCTCGATCTCAGGAACACCAAGATCATGACCTGAGCTGAAGTCAGATGCTTAATGACTGAGCCACCCAGGTGCCTCCCCTATTGTGTGATTTTATTTTACATGATACTCTTTAAAAGGTGAAAGTACAAGGAGGAAAACCTATCCGTGGTTGCCAAGGATTGTGAATGGGAGGAGACATTATCCATAAAGGGTAAGTCTCATTTTCTGTAGGGAAGTGTAATGATGGGCACATGACTCTGCATTTGTCAAAATGTACAGAATGTACACAACTAAGGGTGCATTTTATTGTATGAATACCACAAGATCTACTGGGAGGTGGGGGCAAATATGGAATGCAGATGGTGACAAAAGAAATCTAGCTATATCGCAATTGAATCACATTAACTACACTGAAGGGAATGGGGGAGAAAGAAGCTAAGCAAAGAAACTCTGGAAGGCAAGCAGCATTTTGACTGGATACTTTAAGGCTAAGGACAAAAAGACCTGTTCACACACATCATTCTCTAGTTGGTAATTTGCTTCTTAGAGAGATATGGATTAGGAAATTTAAAACTGCTCTTTTAAACTTTAGATTTTTTTTTAGATTTTAAAGGTATTCTTAGATGCTTTTAAAGTTATTTTCATTTATGCTTATATACTGGAGCTTGAGTTAAGAAATAAATTATAGAAAATGGACTCAGATTTCTTACTATCAGAGGAAGAAGTTACAAAAAATAGAGGAAGGCTAGAATAAGCCCTATGGTGTTGGATTAAAATTGGAGATATCACAATGAACTTATTCTTTTTAATGTACATGTAAGTGACACAGAAATGAACTCTGATAGGTGTGTATGCATTAGCCAGTATCCATACCTGTATTTCCTAGGTTCATCCACTGAAGAGGTCTAGAAGGTGCCTGAGTAGCAATGAGCAAAGCCAACACCCAAGTCTTGGCTTCTAAATTCCATTCTCTAATGAAAGAAATGGGACTCTTTTGGAGTAATACCTGACTCTAGGGCTGTGGCAGGGAAAACACAATGTAAGCCATCCTGAAAAAGTTGCCAGTTGCCAAAGTCAGAACAGCAACAAGATAAATATCGACAACACTGGATGGTAACTCCATAATAAAATAAATATTCATGAATCCATACGACTATAAAGAAACAAGTGAATAAATGGGGCAGAAGTGATAAATAATGATTCCACTTGATAAATATGAAGGATTGAGCGAAATAGCAATTATTATTAAAATACCACAGTGATAACTGCCACACAATGTATGCTAAAATTAGTGGGTGAAAGTTTATGCAAAAATAGGATATTTGCATTAGATCAAAGCATCTCCCCCAAATATTTAAAAATTATAAAGGAAAAGTAGTAACCTTGGTAGAGAATCCTAACAAACACCAGATTAATCAAGTGACCAAGAGTAATATCACCAGTAGTCAGACATCCTGATAGTATTCAATCCCTGATGTGATAGACCAAGAGAGGCATGTGACTTTCCTTCTATGACTTTCCTTCCCAGTAATGCACACTTTTTTTTAGTGCTTTTTTTTTTTTTTTTGAGAGAGAGAGAGAGAGAGAGAGAGAGAGAGAGAGAAGGGGACAGAGGATTCAAAGCAGGCTCTGCACTGACAGCCTGATGAGAGGCTCAAGTTCACAAACCATGAGGTCATGACCTGAGCCGTTGTCCGATGCTTAACTGCTTAATCAACTGAGCCACCCCAGCGCCCCTCCAATAATGCTCATTCTTAAACTAATCACAAGAAAGCATCAGACAAACCCAAACTGAAGCACAGTCTACAAAAGAACTGACCATGAACCTTCAAGAGTTTATAAGGCCATCCGAGACAAAGACTGGAGAAGACAAAGGAGAAATGACAACTAAATGCAGTATGAGCTCCAGGAACAACAAAAGGACATTAGTGGAAAAACTGGTGAAATCTGGAAAAGTTCTGTACTTTAGTTAATAGTAGTGTCCCAAGGTTAATGTCTTAGTATAGATGAATGTTCTTTGGTTATGTAAGGCGTTGAACATAAGGAGTATCTGAGTGAAGGTATATAGGAAATCTGTGTACTGGTTTTGCCACTTTTCTCTAAGTCAAAAATACAAAAAAAAAAAAAATATGGTGCTAAAATAATGTTGTATATGTGCCATCATCTCGTGGCACCGCTGCTTGAAGTTTAAGGCCAGTCTAATTTTTGTCCCTTTTTAGATAATCTGCTTTACCTTTTTCCTGTATGGATGCTTTAAATCTGTTTTCCTCTTTCTTGAAAATAAGTCTTATAATATCATTAATTTGATTTTCTTTAGTGCCAATTTAAATCATTCCTCCTACCCCCAAATGTTATCCACTTCCATTTTCACTTTGGCCTCTTGTTACATCTCACTGTTTGTCTTTTTTGTCTTTACAGATTGTAACCTAAGGATTATCCACAGAGGGTTTGCCTTCCATCTACCGAGGATATACCAGGAAAGTGTTCTAACATTTTGGTGTGATCGCTATATTAAGCTTATTAACACGTGTGCGTGTGTGTGTGTGTGTGTGTGTGTGTGTGTGTGTGTTTCCAGAGTGATTTTTACTTTTCCTTAAGCTGGAGCCTCTTTTCACAAGTACTATTTGAGTTCTTTGGATCATTCAACTTCAAAGTAGGAGAGGTTTCTATATCTAGACCGTTTTCATTATCTTGTGGAAAACCACTGACAACAAATATACTGATTGATTTTGGAGTTGGAGTTTTTTTCGAAGAGATTTTATTAGGGACTGTTTGGTAGAGCCCATTTTAAGTCAGAAGCTACCTACCTAAAATGTCTGCATTTTCGAATTAGTAATTTTAACATTATCTCTCAAGATATTTCTTTGGAGAAAGAATATTTGTAAGCATTATATCTGGAATTCCTGTACTCCAGAATCAGAAAAAAGAATGCAAAGCACTAATTTCTACGTCACAGGATAATTAAAGCAGGAGATTTGCTATTTCTCCATAAAGAGAATTATGAAGTTAGATAGTGGCCTGGAAACCAGTGAAGCTGATTGCAAAATGAATATTTAAAAGCCCCTCTGATTTAATGTGCTCTTGTTTCCATTCCCGTTATTCTTTACAAAGACAAAGAGTCCTCTGTAAATATTGCTTTAAGGATTATCAGGCTTCAATTTTCAAATTCATCCGAAGACCATAATTTAAACCATAATATTGGCTTTACAAATGTAAACAGTGATTGAACCCCTTTCCTTCAGCTAATAGGAATGCCAATGAAATTAAAGTCAATTAAATAATTGCTTTATTAACCTAATGTATTACTTCTGTAAGACATGCTGTGGCATATCCAGCCAGGAGGAGAGCTAGAAGAGAACAAACCTACATCAACATAAGGAGAATGGAAACCAGCATATTTTAAAAACTCGATGCAGTGGGAAGAGTTGCAATATTGATCCATCCATTTCTATGTTGTAGTGTAACACTGGCTAAAGACGGAAAAGTCCTAAGAGCGTTTAAAGGTTTTCATTTGATTTAGATTATATTTAGTAGGGGACAAATTATGTCTACAGGTTAGGTCTAACTTGACTTTTCTCATCTTTCTGCCTTCTGGACACTAGCTGCAGGGAACTGACTTCACCTCCTCAGACTAAAGCCTAGTTGCATCTCTTAGTGACTCACTACTGCTGACAGAATGATGTTTAAACTTTAAACTCCTTATCAGAACTTATAAATCCCTTGATGATTTGAATCCTACTTACAGATCCAGCCTCATTTACCACTATGCTCCTTCCATCCTACCCCTTAGGAGGACCTTCAGCTCTCACTGCAGACTCTGCTGGTTCACTGATCTTTAAGGATGTAAGTTGAAATATCCCCTCTTCAGCCAGAGAAAACTTTTCTCTGTCCACCTCTGTTTCCAGCCTCTTCCTCTGCTTCCCCCAGGCAAGTTATCCCATTTTTTTCTTTTATGATAATACAGAATTACGTGTTTATTTACTTCTAATATTACATACCTTGAGAGATTGGTTTTACTTATTTTGTAGATGTCTTTCTCTCCCACTGTGTTGTCCCCTTCCTTTACAAGGGCAGGACTAGATCAATTAATTATTCCAACAATATCAGAACTTAGGGAAGTACCTGGTACCTATGAGTAAATAGGCAGGTATCTCTAGAAAGATACAGAACAAGTTCTTAGTAGTTACAGCCTTTCTTATAGCTCATGTCCCTCCTGCTCTGCCCCAAATTTTGTTAAGGTCCTGAGCACAAAAAAAAACAATTTTTTTTTCGTTTTGATTTTTCTTTTTTTTTTTTTTTTAATGTTGTTTTTGAGCGAGAGAGAGAGAGACCACGCGTGAGTGGGGAAGGGGCAAAGAGGGAGGGAGACACAGAAGCAGGCTGCAGGCTCTGAGCTGTCAGCAGAGACAGCTTGAACTCACCAACTGTGAGATCATGACCTGAGCCAAAGTCAGATGCTCAACTGACTGAGCCACCCAGGCACCCCTTGTTTTGTTTTTTCTGACACAGGTTCAGACTACACCAAAAGTACAGCCAGAGTTTGCTTCTTTGGAAAGCTTTTATAGATGTTAAGGATGGAAGAAGGAAGAAAGGAGGAAGCAGAGCAAAGGATTACCCTCCTTTGGTGCTGATATGCCTTCCATGTATATTATCTCATTTAATCCAAAAACACTATTCAGAATAAATATTATCATTCCCATTTTTACAGTTAAGAAAACTGTGACTCTAGGGGCGCCTGGATGGCTCAGTTGGTTAAGCATCCAGCTTCAGCTCAGGTCATGATCTCGCGGTCTATGATTTCAAGCCCACGTCGGGCTCTGCCCTGACAGCTCAGAGCCTGGAGCCTGCTTCGGAGTCTGTGTCTCCCTCTCTGTGCCCCTTCTCCACTTGTGCTCTGTCTCTCTTGCTCTCAAAAATAAATAAAACATTAAAAAAATATTTTAAAAAGAAAATGTGATTCTTTATATAATTTGTATCAGGTCACTCATCTGACCAGTTACCAAGCTGGAATTTAAGTTTGACTTGACTCATTCAAAATTAATTCTTTTCTTAAAATATGGGAACTAAAGAAATTTTAGTTCTACAAAACTGTAATGGCCCATTCTGTGAGTATTCTTAACTTGATGCAGTTTTGGTTTTCAACTTTAAACATGAGGATTCAGAAATGTTTGCCTCTCATTTCTATTATACTTAGCTTCATTTGGTAGTTATTCATCTATTGGGTATTTATTAGACATTTACAAAGGCCCAGCAATAAGCTGGACACTTGGAGAGTAAGCATGCCTGAGACACACACAATTTCTCTACTCAAGAAATTCCTTCACCATTTTCTTAGAGGCATTCTCATTCTGGAAAGCCAGCCTACTTGCTATCCCATTTATGGTTTCTCTATTTTTTTTTCTGCCTTTAAACAAATTAACCCTCATACAAACATACACCTCATAGTCTTTATATTAATATTTTTCCTGTTTTCTGTTCTTATTCCAAAAGAAATACATGCTTCGTCTTCTTCACGGTCAACAAAATCTACTGTTTATATAAGTAAATATTTAAGAAGATTATGTATAGATTTTATACTATTATCACATAAATTAGATTAAAAAGGAGTGACATTAATTTTATAAAATGCTTATATTATGTGTATGTATACACACGCACATATATATACACACATCCACACATATATATATATAAGTACATATATGCATTTGCATAATCTTTAGAAAGTATTAGACTTTAAATGCACAGGTCAGAGTAAATTTAGTCTTTGGAATCTATTTAAATCAGAATGAAGGGACTTCCCAAATGAAAAACTGGCAGCTAGATGTATCAGTTTTCTATGTAACAAACCACCCCAAATTTAGTGAATTAAAATAACACAATTTATTATTTCTCACAGCTCTGAAGAAAATTCTGTTTGTCCTGCCTAGACTCACTCATGTGGCCCTTGGCAGCTCAACTGGATGAGCTGGGTTTCTGTCTGGCCTGTCATACCGGTCTTCTTCACAATATGGTGGTGTCAAGATTCCAAGACCATAGCCCCAGTGTAGGTATTAAGATTCTGCTCTTACCACATTTACTGATGTCCATTGACCAAAGCAAGTCATTTGGCCAAGCTCAGAGAAAGTGTAGGATGCTCGGAGTTGTGATTCATGGGGAGGCAATTATTCCAATAATCTACCACACTGAGTATCTTTATAGCATACTTAAAATTATATCACATATACTTCTAAGGCTGAGGATATGCATAATTAGCTACACAGAGCCTTGAGGATTCTGACGACTTATTGATGGATATACATCAAAAGAATATATAAAGTTTGGTTTAGAGATATATACATACATTTAAGTGCTTCTCTGAATTTACAAAGAAACTACATATTAAATATTTCTCATCTATTGATTCTACATGCCTTTGGATGCCCACCACACGTTCACCTGTAGCTACTGAATCAGATGCTCAAGCCTTTCCTTTATTTCATTTTTCCTCAAATTCTAAGTGCCTAGAAGGACTGCTCGTATATCCTGGTTTTTATTCAGCAATTAATATTCAACAACTCTCCATTCACCACTGTAAGCTGGCCAATTCATATACCTAGACTGCATGTTCTGGACAAGCACAGATCCGAATCCATATAAATTCCTAGGGCAGTTTATTATGATTCTTAAAAAGTAGAGATTCCAAAGCATCTTTTTAAGGTATTGGCATAGAAAAGGGTATAGGACTTAAAATTAGAAAACATGAGCTTCAGCTTTATCACTGACCATCAAGTCACTTAATCTCTCAGCAATTTAGTTTCCTAATCTAGAAAAAGAAAGCAATAGTAATAGTAGGTACTTTATAACCTTATTTGGAAGATTAAATGATATGATTTAATGAAGGGCTGTGCAGAATTATACAAATGTATTACAGGCCTGCAGTGCCTTACCAGAAACCACTGAGGTCATTTTCAGAATTCAGACTTATTTAAATTTTAGACAGGTAATACAAAGCATATTTTGTTTATTAAGTAACATTCCTACCATAGTGTAGGATAGTACCCTATACCAAACACATTAATATATCTGCAGCAAAACATTTAAGTGGAGTGAATTAAGACTATAAGTTTATAAAGGCTTTTAGTTTAAGAGCTTTTGTATCTCAGAACTGCAGATAAGGGATTGTGGGTTTCTATTTTATGGTTTTAATAAGTTTAGGCCATTTTTAAGTTTTGAAAAACGGTACAAAACCTTTAATAGTTAAGATTGGCTTTATATAGTTATAGATGACTCATACCTTTGTTTTTATAATTTTCTTTCCTTATTGATATAGGATCTTCATAAAGTAATGAATAATATTTACATTTGGAAGAAAGAAGACGGAAGAAGATTAAAAAAAAAAGAAGAGGTAAGAAGAGATTTTAAGGGCAATGAATGGCAGTGATAGTGAATGCATGATAAATAAGCCAGTCGGTAGGTGTTGAATTAGTTTACCTATGGAATATATAATCAGTGGGAAAATATACATGAAAAGTACACTGTAAAGTTAGGAAAGCTATGTACTGTGTGCCCTGCATTTTACTTAATATTTGTAGGGAAACATTCAATATAAAATCTCTCTGCCCTCCAGCACAGAGATAGAACTAACATATAAAAATGAAGAAGTCATTGAACACAAAGCGTTCTCCATTGTTTAGAAATTTTAAAAGGTATGGATATGAAAAAAAGGTCAGTATGGATAGGAGCTGCCAAAGAAGGTTTTACAAAGTAAGTGGTACTTGAAGGATAGCTTCAGTTTGGATAGAGAAAAGATAACTGAGCAACAATGTCATGTTAAGCAAAGATAGGAGAGTAGTAACGTGTTCCAGAGGCAGAGAAGGACCAGTGTATATAGAACAACAAATGAATCTGAAATCATGCAGTAGAGCCATTTGTGGAGGGATATAAAAGCCTAGAGGGAATAGTTGGACTTGATGGATCATGTAATAGGAAATCACTGCAAGTTCTTGAGCTGAGGAATGAAATCCTGAATTAATACAAGCTTAGCCTGACAGTGAAACAAAGGTGAATCATAATTGGGAGAGACTGGAAACACGGAGGCTGTTGAAATAATCCATGCAGGCATATAGTAAGGGTAAGATTCAGCAGAATTGTTGAATAGGAAGAAGAAAAGGTAAATTTAAAAATCTGGTTAGAAGGCATGAAAACAAGCAGAAAAGAACACGGCATTCTTAACCAGTACAGCTTCAGACTGGCAAACCAGTTGATGGGATTGGGCACAGATGGGAAAGAAAGAGGAGTCCACAGAGTAAAGGGGGTCAGGTGGGAGGTGGGGGAGAGAAATGAAAACAAAAGAAAGCTGAGAGCAGGAAGTTATTTTTTAAAAAGCAAATTACAGGACCTAAACTCCCTTATATCTACACTGATAACTTTATTAGTGAGGATTAATGTTCAGAAATGATGGTGACTCCCAAGTCATCACCACATTCTCAATCATCAAAATCATCAAAGAAAACAAATCTAACACAATGTACGCCGGGAAAATACAATAGAACACCGTGGTAACACATTTTATAAAGACTTTTCACCAAGTGTTTGAAACAAAAAACTGAAGAGTTACCTTAGAGTTACTCAGAAAATGCAACTAACCAGAACATGCCCTTCCAAAGCATACGGGAGAGTCAGAGAACACTCAAATGGGAAGAGACTGTGATGCATTGATTTAAATTTGCAAGTATTCAGACCTTCCTAATTCATGAATAGTTAACATCTAATTGTCAGATAGTTCTTCCTTAAGCCATACTGATGTCTCTTTTAATTCCTATCCATTAGTAAAAATTATCCTCTAAAACAGCTCAAAAGAAGACCATCTTCCATGATAGGTGAATTATTACTTAGAGCCAGAAGTGGAAATTGTTACCCAGGAGACAGGCAGGAGAAAAACTCT